TGCTGTATACAATTATGAAGATCTCAATCTCAAATCAAGACACAAAAATAATTCAGTTCAGTCAAAAGTGCTGCGAATAATCACTAAATTTTTTTACAAGTTCTGTTTTCCAAACCCGTCTCATCCAGACAATAAACCCGCTTATGGAACTACAACCATTACAAATGAATGACAAATTTAAAATTTTAAAATTGGTATACAAATATACTGCTTTACATAGAACGGTAGCGCTGACCGTCAATAAACTTTAATTTTATTTAGTGTACATTATAAAAAAGATATAAGTTAAATATTTCCTAAATGGACTCTTAAAAATGGAAGAAAAACCAACTAAAATTATTGGATAATTAAAACTAATTTTCCGCTCTCTTACTTCAGACCTTTTTGGCGTATAACACTAGACCTATAAGTGACTATCATGGCAATAAAGTATACTGCACTAACTTTATAGCCTGCATTCCGATAAATTTGTTACTGTCGACCAATGGTAATATATCAGTCACAATGTATATATTGTATAAGAATTTAGGCTTGTGTCCATTTCATTTTCGCCGATAGACATAAATAATGATTTCCCTTCTATTACGAGTAAATATAACTCTTATAACCAGATGATCAATAATCTAAATAAATTTTTTTCTATGCTCTAACTGGGATACAATTTAATGTATGAAAATTAAAACTATAATCAGCACAAAAAATATTTTTTGCAGTTTACAAAAAACAAAAAAATGTTGGTACAAACTATTGGATGTTTAGTGCTCTGCTTCTCTTATGTGTAGCTGAGGGCGGTTTCGTCCTTCTTGTAATGAAATTGACATTTCATGTTTTACTAATTAATTTTGTTCTGTTCCATTTTATCATTTAGACTGCTCACCTCACAGTGCTTGGCTGGGTCCACCACCACTTTCATAGTGTTTTTGCTCTGACCAATTCCGCATTTACATGAAATTTGTGTTTTCACTTCGCCAGCATAGAAAATTATTATCTGTATTTATCAGGATCTGCATCTGTATCTACATTCATCTTCATCTACTTAATGCAAATGTGTAATTCGTGAAGTTAATAGCATTGAAACTTTTTATGCTACTTCAATAAGCACAAATATGCCATAAAAGCAATAAGAAATAATACAGTAAACATAAAATATCTGGGAAAAATAATCTATATTTCAAATTGATAAATTTTGCATTCTTGCATTCGTTGCAGTTGCGAGTTCAATATATTTTTGTAGAAAAGATTAAAGTAAACTTGTCATAAATTAAACTTCAACTTCACCAAAAGTTAAATACTCTTCGTTTAAAAAATCATTGGCAAAAGCCTAAGTTCAGAACCCTCCCATACAACTAGAACTATGAAAAATTGCAGAAAAAATAATTCACACGAAAATAGTACGCTTATAAATATACAGTCTTCTCTAAAGAGTAATATAACTACAAAGATTATCACTTCACCGAACTACAATTGGTTAGAGTCTTACAAATAATCCGGACATCCCTAAACAAAAGAGTCAATCATTCGACATCACATAATCTTTCGATTAAATTTAATATACCGTACTAATTTAAAAATGAACGAAAAATATTACTGATAGTAACTGTTTCCAAACAATAAAGAAATTGTCAGGAAGTATAAATCGAATCTACACATAGAAAAATAAAAGTAAGTGAAACGTATCGATTCCCTACTGCAGATTTACCCGAAATAGAGCACATTTCACCTTTCCTAATTCCGGACGATATTTGCAAACTACATTCAGGTAATAAAACGAAAAAAATAATACCAAAAACTCAAAGGCGCCACCAGACTTCAGCAGAGCTAAAATGTCACAGCATAGATAATATACATCTTTCTTAAATATCAGGACCCAACTCTAGTTAGACACTCCTCACGGAAAGATTACATAAGAAACGAAAGAGTTAAATGTACCCTAAAATTTTAATCCTTAACTTAAGTACGAATCCAAAAGCATATCAGAAAACCTGCTCTGTTATATGGTTTCATAATTTACGACAAAGCAATCAAAGCCGCCATTAAGATACCGCACACTTGAAGAATAAATATGTGCTGAAATATTTTAAATTATAGTTATTCAAAGATATGGGAAGTGACGGCTTCAAAAAATTTATGAAAAACTTTTTAAAAAAGGTTGAAGTCAAAATCAATGCTCTCCTAAGAGCATAAGAGAAATTCCAAGGCTTATATATATAAGGTATATATATCTTATATAATAGACAAGATATATTGCAATGGTAAATATTGAAAAAGCTATGCAAACTGCAACCTTTAAAAAACACATAAAAAAGTTGAAAAAAGATTAATGGGCCTGAAAACACAAGGAAAACCCATATTCAAATCCCAGTTTAAACCCATGAGAGAAGAAGGGTATACAGATATCTGCATGATATTAGTAGTAAAAATATCATTTGATACTTATTGATATAAATCAATTAATATGATCAATCAATAAGTAACAATAATAATAACTCGAATACAAAACAACTTAAATAAGTTATTCTCGATAGCTTGATTTTCTCAAAAAACTGATTTAATATAGTAAAGAGGATACTTAAAAAGTTTCCATTCACTTTGTAAAAACAAAGACATTTTATAAATAACGTATCACAGAATATTATTAAGAGCCAGAAAACACTACGACCTGAATAGATCTATTTGAACAATTCAAAATGTATTGTATAAACGAATTTAAAAATCTTTATACAACACGAGCAAATATTGAGTTACTGTCTAAAGTTCTGAATAGAGATGCATCCTGCATCCTGCATCCTGAATCAGCTGTACTATTTTGTTGATCCGGTAATCAAAAGGAATAAGACTATGACATTTTGTTTGCATGCGATGCCACACGAAACCCTTTGCGTCCGTCTAGGAAGAAATAAATAATTTTTTCAATAATTCCGATTCCAAAGCAAATTTATGATCTCACAATTATCACAAATGCGATAATAAAAAAGTTGTAAAAAATTAGAGATGGGTACCGTTTCAAATATAATACATTTAAAAATTGTAATTATATTATTATTATTTTTTGGAATATTATCAATGAATTGTTAAATAAAAATTTTATTATTTATGAATATCATTAAAACAATATTATATTGTCGTTTACTGACTTGCCCCGACGTACGAGCATGCAAAATTTTAATCGCAGGGGCTGTGTGTATGTATGTATATGCGCTTATGAATGTTTTGATTCATTTGAGACACTCTGCCAATTGGGTCAGCTAGACCAGTGATATTTGCCAAAAGCTATTGGAAAAAATTTAAGAAAAATTATTGCAAAAAGTACTTAAAACTGCGCATGCAGGACCGCCCAAAAAACAATTCTATTCCTATGAAAGCATTTAAGCGGAAACGGATATGCACTTTCGGTACAGCTCACTTAAACGACTTAGTGGAGCCTGACTTCAACCAACAAATACTTTGGCCATTCTGTTTAAACGTTAAACGTACTTACATAAACACTTCCCAGTTTTAGAAAAGTAAAATTCTTAAGCCACAAGTGTACGCAAACTATAAACATTCACTCTAAATACAATTATAAAAATGGGAAAGAACACAATTGCCAATAACAGCAGTAATAGATGTAGATCACCCAAAAGGGAGTTGTTCTTACATTGAATATGCTTAAGGTTGTTTGTCAAAAGGACACTTGTATTACTATGGTATGAATATAATTATATTAGGAACATATAAATAAAATTAAGTGAAAATAATATGAGAATTAATAGTGAAAAATATGTTAACGTGAAACGAAACGAAATACCATAAATATCCAAACTAATATGTATAAAGTACTGGTCACGGGTAGGGTAGACATGGAAAAACTCGTGACAGTACTGACAGCAGACAGCCATGCGAAAAGATTTCATAATAACTTCAGTCACGAATGTAGAAACTGGTAGCAAAAAAACGTAAAAGATACAAGTAAAAACTTTCTTATAAAATGTTCATAACTGACAAAGTTATGTTGTTCTACTATAAAAATCTATTGAGCCTTACGGATATCCCATTTATAAATCTTCCAAAAATAATTTATGATACAATATTTTAGTTTTTTAGGTTAGTTTTAAATAGTGTCATTGCGTTATTTGATTAAACGATATACATAGCTCTTTATTGAATCAACCAACCATAAAGAGAAAGTCATTAATGAGGGAATCAAGTTCTTCGACACGTTGGACACCAAAATCATCTGGTCAAAATATGTCCTAAACATAATCCATAAACTAATAGTGTATTTCATCAATCACATAATTAATTAATATATATAACAGAGCTCAAACATATTTTATCATATTTGGTCACTGTATATTATATTATTAATGTATATTGTGTTAGATACATAAGCTTATAGAACAATTCATTTAAATAAAACATTATATTGTGAGGAAGCTTTAGATACCCACCAAATATCATTGAAATTTACTGCTTTCACACATTATCTTAGTGATCAAGATTTTGTCCATCTTCTCTTACAATCCACATTGCACACACTGATTTAAGTGGCATTTATCTTGACTCAGACAAATTTTAATTAACACCCAACCAAATCTATCATCCTATTCGACATAAAATAATCCATTCATTTTTCGTGCTATACATTGTTTCATTGGATTACAAGAACAAAAACATTCAAATCGCTATTAAAGAAATTTTATTTTTTTTAAGCCAAAAGCGCTCGCATTGTTTACAAATTAATTAACAAATGAATTTGCGATTATGTAATTTGTAAAATTTAAACATGTATATAGCTACATACATATACTCGTTAAATAGATTCACATGTAATATTATAATGTTTGATTAAATCAATATGTTTAAAATACATTTTGTTATTGTTGCGGAATACAGCTGAAACATTTTTAAAAAAATTTCATTTAAATTTTATTCTCAACATAAAACAGGAAAAAAAAACAAAAATATATACTATATATACTATAATAATATTAGTAGTCTAAAACATACAAACAGACTTATATATAATACAATTATATCAGGGAATATTCTTCCAAACAAAAGAAAGAAAATATTAGCACAATGCAAGTCGTAGATACAATTGCAAATATATTCTTTATACAGCTTTAAAAAGCCGCTTAAACAACAACTTAACAAAACTTATTTCTAAATGTGTATAATTCTTACAGCCAGCAAATAATGTTAGTATTAAAAAGAAACTAAACTAACTTAATATGTATGCATATGGCGATAAATGCTTACCCATGCAAATAATTATATAAAAATATAAAATTATTGCGGGTAAAAAATATCAAATTTATGACTTAAAGTTTATTGAGTGAAAATTTGGTCTTCGTGGTGGGTGGTACTGGTTTTAACGAGCTCATCTGGATCATCACTACGCAAGTATGGATTAATCTCAGGCTGAGGTTCGAAAATAATATTTCCGCGAACGACGCGCACTCTTGGACCAAGTGCTCGTGGATTGAACTTCACTTTACCGCAAGTATCCGGCCGTATCTCACGATGCATCTTAAGACCACTAATGCAGGAAAATTGCTTGTTGCAACCATAACACTTGTAACGTTTCATGCCAATGTGACGTGAGAGATGAGATATTAGAGTCTCGCGATGCGTAAAACTTTGACTACAAACCTATTAGAATAGCATACAAATATTAATTTATTTATTATAAATACATAAATACATGTATAAACATTATAATTATCTACCTGACACTCAAAAGGACGCTCGCCTGTATGAGTTCTATGATGCACAGTAACTTGACCACGGGTGCGAAATTTTTTGTCACAAAAGTCGCATTTGAATGGTAACTCGCCAGTGTGTATTGTGATATGACAAGTTAATGTGCTGTACGAAAAAAATTTTTTGGGACATTCAGGGCAAGGATACTGTGGTTCCCGACTACAGTTCGAAGCGATATGATCGTTTAACATAGTTTTGGATGAACAGTGACGCCCGCACTTATTGCAAATATGTTGAATGTTTCTATACTTCTTCTTTCTTTGCTTTTCTGGAAGATCGCCATTTTCGGTTATTTCAATTGGTGTTTCGTCATTTGGTGCCTGATTTTCGGCCCTTTGTTTCATAAGTTTCTTAAAACGATCGACATCCACAGTTTCTGTAAATTATTATTTTAATTTAATTTATATGATATACTAGTATAAAGATTTATTTCATTATTCAACTTACTCTTATGTGTATCATAAGATTTCACTTCGACCAGTAGTTGGTCAAATTCCTCTTTACAAAGACCATGTGAACTAACTAAATGACCACGAAAAGCATGTTTCTGCTCATATTCACGTGGACAATGGGGACAGAGCCACGCAAAACGGTAATTCTTAAATTCTCGCTTTGCTTGTATTAGCTCCGGATCATATTTGGATTTTACGGGCAGGAAAAACACTTCTGGTGGTTTATTTTGAGAATATTCCGCATTTTGAATTGTAGTGACACCGTTACTTCCAATTGGTAACACTGATAAATTTGATTTATATTGATTTTTATTGACAGTCGCTTTTGGGCCGGTACTATCTTGTACCAAACTAGTAACACCAACGCAATTCATTTGATTTTCAACCTCTTTTATTTGTTGAATCATAGTATTAATCACTTCTGTGTTTGCTACTTTATTTTCCTGAAGATGAACACCGAGGTTATCATCTGTGTATCCAAGTTCCTTTATTTGTTGAAGCATATTATTTTCCATTTCATTTTCTGAAAGGTTAAGGAAACTCTTTTGGATATTCAGTTTATCATCTACGTTTAATTTGGATTCATCATCGGAATCACTTTCTATAACTATAGGTGAATTTTGAATCTCCATTGTATTGTTTTCATTAACAGAACGATTATCTTTGGTATTTGTTATCAAATTTGGCACGCTTCCGGAAGTTGAACTGGTTTGATTAGCTACTGAATTCATTGAAAGAACTGGGTTGAAGTTTATAAAGAACTTTTTTTTCTGCGGATTAGAATTCTGTGTTGGAACCGAAGTATTAAATTGAGGTACACATATATTAGGAATTTTGACAATTCTAGAATTTGGTGCCAATTTCACTAATTTAAGTCCATTGAAATTGTTTTTCAATAATTTTAAACCATTGTGTTGACTGCTTTGAGGTGTGACAAAAACTTTTGGATTGACAAGGGATAGCTTTTCGTTTGGTATTTTAACAATAACAGGAAATTTAGTTTGTTGTGATGATGTTCCGATGTTTTTTAGAGAAATATTTAAATTAGGATTTTGTGAGACTTCAAATTTATTGTTGTTATTTTGACCAACAGCAATTGCGGGTACGACTGAGGCTGATGGAGACTTTTGCAAAAAAATCGTTCTCACAGCATTTTTTTTATCAGTGCTCTCAACAAGGCAATTCTTGATATCAATGAGATTGCTTGTATCAACGACAGTTTTACGAGTTTGTGGCGAGCTGCTTTCATAACCCGTTTCACTGTCTTCCTCCTTCACTTTTACCTTTACAAGTTCCTCATTTTCCAAATTAGCTAAAATTATTTATTATTAGATAAAAGAAACGAAACAAAACTAAAAAAGAATTTCTTACGTTCATTTTCAAACAGACGCTTTAGCCGAATTCGTTTAAAACCCAATTGTTCAAAATCTAGTTAAAAAATATTAAAAATAATGCTTTGTTTATGCATACAAATAATTCTATATATTACCCTTTACAGGACTTTCAATTTTATCTTCACACTCGACTTTAACTTGGCTTTCATCAGTGTCTTCGCTAGTTATGTACTAAAAATTAATATTATTTAATTAATGATTTTAATTATTATATATAATTATTAGGAGTTCACTTACATTATTCTTTTTTAATTGTTCCAAAAAGATTTTTTCGAGATCAGGTTTGATATCGGTGGGACTTGGTAATAAATTTTCAGCATCTTGTATTGCATTATAAGAATCATCTGAAGCGCTATATTCATCTAAGGAAAAATTATTTAAATTAATTAGTAATAAGCAATTAATAATTTGATAGATTAATCAAAATATATAATTAATGCTGTAAATGCATTTGGACTCAACTAGATACAGTGTACCTAATTGGATCTATTTTTAAGATTTGTTACTGAAACCAAATGGTTAATTAGAAGTGTATGAGAAAATTAAAAATACCGCCACATCAGCCTCCATGCCTAAGTGCCAAAACTTTCTTGTTAGGGATTGCTATATTAATTGTAGACTTACAGCTGGACACGATTTCTTTTACTAGTTGTACAAAGAAATATATACTAAAGTCTTTACCAACAAATAAGTAAATTAACGTAAAATGTAATTAATTATTTAAAAAATTTTAATTCATTTATTTGGGATACCACAAAAACAAAATAATATAATGTTAACAAAATAGAACAAAGAAAAATCTGCTCTATAGGAACAAAAAAACGGCTTCTCACATTAAAATAGCAATGTCTCATGCCATACAATCCTATAATATTTAGATTTAGAGAGACTTTCACATATGACCAGTGTTTTAATTCTAAAATATTATTTAGGACACACATTTAAGGACAAAGAAATTCACGAATGCCTAACGCTCTAAACCCCTCATCCCTAAAGTACACCCAATTACGGTTGAACCACACGGAAAGTTTGTAACGGAGTGCTTATATCACATTATATGGAAACTAACTTCTCACCTCATATATTTTTACATAGGTAAAAATAAACACAATAATATATTCTACAAAAACAACTAAAAGCTTATTATTATTGTTCATTTCATAATTTTATTCATAATTGAACGATCCTAAATCAATTTAATCTTATATTAGTGCTGATATACCATTTCATATTTATAAAGTCAGCAATAGATTTTCTCCGCTGAAAATCATTTATTAATAAACGGGTGCAGTAATAATTGAGCTACAAAAACGCGGATTCTGAGGATCACCATAATAATCTATATACTTTATATGAGTTCTAAATGATTCTAATTACTACAAAAGGCAATAAAATAAAATAAAAATATAAATAAATAAATTCAATTTTGCTAAATCAAGTGAGTTGTTTAAAGATACTATAATTCTTATGAACTAATTTTTTCTCTCTATAGTTTACTACTCTTCTTAATAATTCTTAATAATTAATATTGATTTCGTCCCTGTACTAATTTGTACTAATTGCATTAAAAAAACACAACACGGGATACAGTTAGTCAGTGAATCGTTCATCGTTCATCGAGTCACTTTAACAGTTCAAATATACAAGTTTTTTTAAGAACCGCGTTTAGCAGCGAATCGTTACTTGCTGCGTTTTGTTTTCGTTCTTATCTCACATATGCAAATGGACGAGTGAGTGACTCTTTATGTTTTCCGTTTAACTCAATGTTAAACGCTGCAATTATTTACCGTAAAATTACTTCATTTATTTTCATGAAATTAATTTGTTTTAAACAATTTCTGTTTAAAGGGAACAGAAATTTTTGCTACAACTTTCACAACTCAATTTTAAACCAAAAAAATTTTCCTCTCTACCTAATCTTCCTTTTCACATAATTTTTCGCTTCAAGGACAACAGCTGTGTACGGCCTCTTGCCAACAGGTAACCGAAACTAATGTATTTACGTTTGTGTATAAAACTTGAAAATAAGTACTTTTTCCATAAGATAGTGATATGATAGAATTGATATTATTAATAAAAATCTTACTTTTTATGCAGGATAGGTTAAAACTCTGATAATTATAATATGGAGCACATCTCTCAGTCTCAGGATCATCAAGCTCCATTTCTTCTTCTTTAATTACGATATTATCACCTGCAATAAAATGATATTTTATACACAGTTATTTATGAAGAAAAAAAAATTATTCTATAGTTGTTCATTTCAATACATATCGTTGTAATCAAAATAATAGTTAACTACCCTGTACGCAGCAAACATATAATAAACATACATACATACGTGTGTACGATATGTATGTTCAACGATGCACGGTTTGCCGTACACATGCACACAAACACAACAAAATTCCAACACAAACAAATTCGAGCAATTGCTGTTTGCACGATAAAGTGACGCATGGCGCTGTACCGTGATCTGCTTGCAATTGTTCTTAAACAAAAACACAATATCCAAAAAGTGATCTGTTTTCTATAGTTCTTAGAAAATACACACCAATATGCATAGCACCAATTCAAATGCATTGATTTAAACAAATTTAAAATAATATTATAATTAATAAAAATAAAAAATCTACCTTTATAATCCATATCAACTTCTTTCTTTATATATATTTCGGCCGCTTCATCAGAATCCACAGGTTCTGTTTTTATTGTTGTATTTGCCGTGTCCATTGTTGGTAGATCATTCACTTTATATTTTTTTTCACAATCTTTAATTATTTATAAATTTACTATTCTTGCACCCAAAGTTACTGTTAAATTATTTAGACAGCGATCGCACACTCAAACAAGCAGGAACGCTTGTTAACAACTGAATTTAAACCAAATGTCAAAAACGAAATGAACATGTGAAAGAAAAATTAAAAAGAATAGCGTTAGACTATTCATTATTGATCGCGTACAGTTTGGCAGGCACTGGATAGCCAAGGTGCATGAAATTATTATAAATATTAAGTTTCTTAGAAAAAAAATAAAAAAAACTCACTCAAATAAAGGTTATATATTTATTCTAAAATATTTCACTTCACTTTGTTACTGTTTTAAATAACAGCTACACGCACAAAGTGAGAAGTTTGCTTTTTTCATATGAAATAAGACATCCCTGATCTACACTAAGAAAGTAAATAATAAAGAGAATGAGGAAAACAAATCAAAATAGAAAATATAATAAGTTAACGTAATTTAAGCGCGATTTTCAAAGTAATGATGCCATATTGCACTGATCAGCACTTTTTATCGAGGGAAGAATAATTTTCAGAATACTTTAATAAACAATTAAAGTATTTAATATTCCAAAGCATAAATTACAATTTAAATTACATTTATTATTTTTTTTTAATTTATTTAAAAATATTAATGAAATGTATGCGATGGTGTATGGGAGATACAGATGACAGCGTATAAAATGGACGACGAAAGTAACCGAATCCTAAGAGTATATACATTTCGTTGTATTCTTATGTAGTAGAAAATGACATACAATGTTAATATATATGTAAAACATAAAAGATCGCCATTGGAAAAATATCAATAAATTTGATTTATTCAATGCATTTGTTATTTTTAATGAACTAAAAAAGTAAATTAAAAGGATTTATAAATTATTTAATTTACTTATTAAATAATGCAAATAAAATGTACAAGAGTTTAAAATTGATTTTGATACTTTTAATTAATACCTGGAATAAATACTAGTTCACTGGATGCTGCGATCCACAAATTTAAGCAGGTTATTGCTACACATTTATTGGATTAATTGATAGATAGAAATCACAGTTGCTGTAATATAGGATGCAAGTATTTATCGATAAAACGCATGTGAAATATTATAATATTAAATTATAACTAAATTTGGGAATAAAAATATTAATATTTGTATTCTTATTAATATTGTCGAAAGCACGTAGTTATCGTAAGGCTTGAGTGGGTGAAGTCTATCCGAAATATATCGAAATTATATCCGTCTAATAGAATAAAAATTATTTTTAAAATTCCGGAAAGTATCTGAAAACTCCATCCAAAATGATCTTCTGCCTATGGGGCTGGTTACAGATAAAATTTACAAAAGCTTGATCTTTATTTTAAAACCTTGTTATTTAAGAATGTAGACACTTATGATTTAATCATGTATCAATGATAAAATAGTAACATTCCTTAATTTTGTTTGTTAATAGAAATCCTAAATTCTATGGTCTTACTTTCTTTTATAATATGAATAATCATCAAAACTAGATTTAAAATTTAAAACTGAGGAAAATAATTTATTTTTTTTTGTATAAAATGAATAATTAAATAAAATATATTTTTTTTTATAGTTTACTTCTATTGCGTTTAATATTTTCCGTAATATTATCCGATCTTTTCACATTATCTTCGCCATCACTCAATGACCATGATTGCAGTAATGGAGGTCTGTGTCTATTAATGAATGGATTTATAACATCAGCTACTTCTACAGGATTATTAAGATGGACATGATGCGTGCCATTAATCTCGTGTAATTCAAAATGTGGGTTTCTTTCACGTAGAATTTCAATAACTTCATTACTGTCCTCATTAATATAATTCGATTCTGAACCTTTGATCACACAATATGGGACGTCATGTATGCGTTTGGCCAATTCGGCTGCAAATGGCGCACTTGTTATAAAATCAAAGTAATACTTAATACGACCGTCTCGGGAAAAATAATACTTATCAGGGTATATTTTTGACTTAGCTATATTTCTATTTAATATATGTTTGCAGTTATCCATATCGACAGATTTATGGGAGCCCTCAAATAGAATTTGTTCAGCACGTTCATAGGTGTATGATGGCGGTTCTATTACATCCATCATTATCAGACGTTCATCTTCAATCAAATATTTTTCAATATTATTTCGCATAAATTCAATATGTGGTTTTGGCTGACGATACCGCATACGAACAATATCAATGGATATCAACATATCCACACGTTCCGGATGAATGGCGGTAAATAAAAATGAAAGCATTGAGCTCATCGAATGTGAAAGTATAGAAACTTTTTGCCAATTATACTCTTGCATTATACGTATTATAACACATATATAGTCTACCGTGTGGTAAATGATACCCTTTGGTAGTTTGGGCGAAAGTCCATGTCCTGGAAAATCAATGCATAGAATGCCGATGTGTTCAGGCAATAGAGGTATTAGAGTATTCCAAGTGCCCATATTGTCTAGCCAACCATGCAGTGCAAGTATGGGACGAACTTTTCTGTTTCCGTACCAACGACCGACGACATATCCCCAAGGCATTGAGAAACGTAAATCTTCAAACTAAAATTCAAAAATAGATTTTCATTAAAAAATTATAAATGCATAAAGTTTATTGAATAATGAAAATGTAAACCTTAATTGTGCATATCATAGTCATTAATAGGAATTCTTAATCTCCTTAACTCCTTTCGAATATCCTTCAAAGAAACATCATGAGGAAATTACTAAGAGGTTTCAGAAGATCAATTTTTTGTTATTTTCTGATCTCAAAGTTTTCTTTTTATCTTCTTTATTGATAACATAAATACACGTCATTGTGATAAGCCGTCTCTGACTAGGTCTCGTTCAGATGGACTTTGACACGAGTCGAAATAATATCTTTAATTAGCCGTTGCAGCTGAACTTGGTCCGATCCAAAACCACGAAATTTATGTAAACAAACACTTTTACCTTGAGTGGTATTCTAATAAAAGCGAATTCAGTTCAAAGCTTTGCGGTGGCGAAATCAACGAGGGCAGAATTTTCTCTTAAATTTGTACTTTGGCTTGCGCGTTTTGCTTACCTCTCTCTCACTGTGTGTACTTGCCGGCGTGCTCATTGTATTTTATTTACTTCCGAAATTTTTTATGTTTATAAAATATTATTTGTTTATAAGAAAAAAACTGAAATACTTAAATGTTTTTTATCAATCAGAACCGTCTAGCCTGACATGACAAGCAATAATAAGCAACTAAAGCGTATGCTACTTTCGCCCAAGACGTTAAATTATAAATTAGTTTGCTTACAGAAAAATGAGTGATAATATAGAGAGCTTTTTAAACTTGAATGGCTTTACTCACCACACTCACCTCACAACAATGTGTCACTTTTGTACTTTGAACGCAAAAACTTAATGAATTTTGAATAGACATTAACTATAACGAAACTTTGCTATTTACTGAAAAATATCTTGAAAGCATTAAGGCCCCTGCAGGAAATCGCACTACTCTACGATTAAAATAAAGGCATTGGTTAATAAACTATAACTAATCCAAATCTAGTTAGCACTTCAACAAATCATAAATGAAATTTATTAAATTAATTTTATTAAATTAATTTTATTAAATAATAAAAGAAAATACCTATATTGTAAGTATCAAAATAATTTATCCAGAATTCTTAAAATGATTATTAAAGCAATAGTTTATTTTGATCAGGAAATAAGTGGATAAGTAGTTTATGTTTCACCAGCCTGTCACAGTGAGAAACTAATTATGTTGCTCTACATTCAACACGACTTAATTTACAACTTAATCTACTTGAATTAGCTCTTAAGACAGTGATTGTGTTGATTTGCATTTGCTTATAATACTCGTAATTGTTCTATTCGGTTCAGTTAGTGCACAGTAATTTTTTTGAAGAAATTGTAAAAAGTACAATAAGTGCAGAACATAACAAAACAAAACGTTTTACAAAATATGAAAAATGATTGATAGAAAAAGTTTAATAAAGGAAAATTTAGTCCTTGGCTTAATTACTACTTACAAATCAAAACTATTGCCCAATTTCATATTTACATTCTCCTTACCTGGCAAAAGGACATAACAAATGCAAACAAAAGATACAAAAAAAAAGGATTAATGGAAATTTCCTTCACAAAAATAGAATAATAATATGCATCGGGAGTTTAATTGAAGACGTTTTAGAAAATTGTATCTTTTTTGCCATAAAAGCTATCAATAAATATTGATCCGAAAAATTAGTACACCAAAATGCGCTGAAGTACATAACATAGTTCAGTTATTATTTTTTTTAAATAGCTTTATTTTAAATAGTATTTTTTTATTATTTCAATGATGGCATATTCGTATATTGATCACGAGTATTTAGTTTAAAAATTGGCATTTTAGGGAAATACGATTATACAAATGAAACCATGAAAATTGCTCTTTTAAATTTTTATCTAAGGTGAACCACTGAAATTGCTTTATTTTTGTTAATAAATAAAATGTTTAATGACAAATTTTGTAAAGAAATTATTTGTTATTTCATATATTTATTATGACATTTTTATTTTTTATCCTTCCTATCACTATCACTATCGTTACATGGGTACATCTTGCCGTGGATTTAAAAATATTTATGCAATCTGATAGTATATTTGTTATTTTATGTCGTTCACAATTAAGTTTTCGCTGTTATAAGATTTATAAACATCCGTCTGAATGGAACGGCTATATACTTTTAAGAGAAAACTCCTTCGAGCCGTACTAACTACAAACCCAATACCAATGACCACAAAAAGTCCAAATAGCACGCCATTTATGCTATTGAAACGGTTAAAAGACTTAATAAATTTCTAATGAAATTAAAACATCTCGCCAACCCACCAAAATTCCTCTCTACTCTTCTGCATATTAAGAAACTTCTCAATATTATTCTCCGAACTATTTCTTTTTTATGATTTGTCCTTAGTTCTGGGTTTCTACTTTCACGAGTTGGACTATCCATACTTCAATATTTATTTAGAGTTATATTAGTGCGTTTATACAGATATACTTCTAAGCCTATTTATTTTTAGTCACTCTATATTGAAATTTTAATGGTATATTTTATATGTTATATTAATCGACATATTTTCTTTTCGTCCAGTTGAAATTAGCACCCTACAAATATTCTATATTAAACAATCCAAGAGATAAATAAAAAATATAGCTTTGCCATTGAAATCTGCCCAATTTATTATAAAAGAATTGATTGTTCAAACACGACTTAAGTTAATATGTGCACAACGTTGTTGTACCCAGTGTTGTATTTATTGCTAGGCGGAATCTCTCAATTAATGAATAAAATGTTCATTACGTTGTTCATTAATTAATTGATTTCAATTTTCATTTTATTTTCATTTATATGTCTTTATTTTATCACTTTTAATTTTTTTCTGTAATTATCTAGTTGTGTTTTTCAGCTTAGAAAATCATTTTGGGAAATGATTCGACTGGGAGAAAAAGATTTTCATTTTAATGAAACTACGATAATATTCTGATAACATTTTTTCAAGTTTAAAACTTTTTGGCATAAAAGAAAAATAATACGTTTTGGTTTGGAATATTATAGGCATTTCGTAAATCATTTCATTCAATTTTCTAAATGTTTCAGAAACGGTTTGCAGCCACTTTTATTGCCAGTTGTTGTCAATGAAAGCGGGAATATATTGCTCAATATTTTTGATTAATCGGAAAGGAAAATATTTGCATGTGGAACAAAACCGATATTCACGCCGTCTAATATAAAGGTCATGAGCGCAAGGTAAAAGGACTCTCAACTGTCAAATAGAATCCCAACGCAATTTTTTATTATTCTCCAGTGTCATTCTGAACTGCAATTCGAATTTTACGCTTTTTTTAATTTCAGTTTATTTATTTGCTAAAACTTTTTTAAAACGTGCACACAAATCACAGACAAATTCAATAACCGCTATGGAACCAATGCAATAGTAAACCGAGTTGAAGGCAAACATACAATCAAATTTATTAAAGCAATTATTTTAGGTTTTGATTTCACAAATAAAATATTCTGTTGTTGTTGGTTTTAAGGTTATTAGATAATGAAAAATTTTATTGAGAAACTCAAACAAAAGACGTTTTACCAGTTTAATAATAATATATGTAATATACTCACATATAAATCATAGTATAACAATATATGCAGAGAAGTGCTTCAATGATGCATATTTGAGTTCTCAGAAAGCACTTAATTATTATCTGTGTGTTCTGAAGAACTAATGAACAAGTCATACGCATTAGAAACAATTGACGTAGTAAGAAAACGACATTGTCAATCATTTTCATTCTTCTTTAAAATCTTCTTCTTTATAATAATTTTACCTAAAAAAAATTGATTAAAAATGAAATTGAAATGAAATTGATTGAAAATTGATTAAAATTTAAAGTTGAGGGTTAAAAACATTGATCGTTTCTAGCCAATAAGTTTGAGATTCATTTAACAAAAAACAAAAGTTAATCAAATATTAAACAATAAATAAATGTTATGACTTTTTCGTATTGTTATTAATAGAATGCATTAATTAAAATGAAATACACATAAAAGTTATTAAACCAAAATATTTCAAGACAAAAAATCAAGTCAACTTTTCTTTCCGAATCAATAAAATTATTCAAGTGAGTTCATTCTTTTCAACTTCCAATAACTTCTCATAAGCATTGTTTTCACACCTATAAGGCAATATGTATAGATTTTCAATAGGACTTTCACTATCTTAAATGCCACTTGATTTTTCGTTTACTTATTTATGTTCACTTCATTCACTTCCCATTTCTTATACGTTCAAAACATTCGATTGTGAATATAAACACTGCTTGTATTCGAAATCTATTCTTTTGCTTGCCATACTCACAGTTATACACATAACATAAACAACAACTCCTTGTATGAACCTTAACAGAGTAATTATATCGTAATAATAGGTACAGGACTCGATTTTTCGATTTAAGTTGATTCATTCGTTTCAGTTTTATTTAGTTATTGAATCAGAAACGATTGATTTGTTTACTGTCATTTCATGTTCAATTTTAATAAGTGTGAACGAATGAAGTTCGAATATATTGAATGCTTACACCACGCAAGTAAGATAAGAGATGTGAATTAAATAAAATGGATGTAGAGAATACTTGCACATAAAAGCAAGTATTGTCAGAAGAAATGATATTTTGAACTCTATTTCTTGCTTCAGATGTGACGTATACATACGAATTTCTCAAAGTTATTGTAGAGTGGTAATTTTGCAACTCTAATAACAATCGCTGAGTAAATTGCAAAAGTACATTTCACATTATTTGTTATTTTAAGTCATTGCCTCTTTCGACGTTGGACGTATACTGATCACTTTGTCTATGTACGAACCAACGCTATTCCTTTGGTATCACAACAGGTCATTATTTTGAGCTCAAGTGGGTTTTCTTGGTATACAAGGCCGCCACTCCAACCTAACCTAACCTAAGAGTTTTGCAACAAAATTTTAAGTACAAGTCTTAAAATTGAGAAAGTTAGGTATGCTGACCTGCGCAATCTTACTCCATAAACGATAGAACATAAGTCTAGAACAATAAGAAGGACATGACTTGGCAACAAAATTCTTTGAAAAAGTTAATTAAAGGTGCCCGGTGATACCAACTTTAGAACACATAATGCAATCCAATATTTGAAACCTAATAAAGGAACTTAAAGAAGCGAATCTGAATTTAATTATTTCCCAAATTGCTATGCTTTACCTCTCCTTTAGGATTCGCCTAATCATTTTATCTGAGTGCTAAACTTAAATACATGCAAAACGCTTTAGCAGGACAGAACTATTTCGTTCTACTTTTTTTCACTAAAGAATTCGATGCAGTGACGAGGGAAATCTAAAATTTCTCAAAAATTTTCCTACAACACAGTCTAATGAAGCAAACTGTCCAACAATATAAGATAAATGAGATTCAGCCAATTTAAAGCAGAATCTTTTACCGACGCTAAGACAAGCAGCCGGAAGCACAAATGCTCGGATT